GTTCCGTCTCGGTTAGAATGTTTCTGTCTATTTGTACCAGCTTAATGTTTGCAGTGCCACGTAAGGTCAGGGCGAGAGCCCAGTACTAATCGGTAAGCGATAGGCATGCACTTGGTCAACACTAAGTCTCCTTTCCTCTACCTGATCAAAGCGGCAATATTGTGCATGAAAGAAAATAAGTTTGTTAAAGTTTTTCAACTTGACTTTTATGAAATAATATACAGGCCACAACTACCAATTGCTATAAACATATACCATAACTTTTGCACAAGCACATAAAAACAATTGAAATCACTTTATACAGGATTCATACAAATTTCTGCACATGGAAAAGTACTTTTAAGAACTATTAATGAAAAAAATTAAGGACTCATCAACAAATGGGCACTCAATAAATTCAATTAAAGATATTAGCTATGCCCAAACTTTTACGATACCATCCTACAAATAAAATAGATCCACAAGTACGATGCATTATTATTAAACATAATTTAATAAACATAGTTATAAAACAAATTTGAAAATAAATTCAACTTTATAAAATTTATAAGGTAGCATTAAATATTTAAAATGCCTTATTTCTGCTCGAAATTCAGAGTTTGAGCCTTAAAATAATCTCTGCTCTCATGTGCCTTTTCACAAAATACAGAATCTACATTTTGCTCTTTCCAAAAACTTCAGAAAATAAATCTGCAGCTTTTTCCCTCTTCTCATATTTATTTGAAAACCCAGATTTCGCTCCTCTCCTTCTACCTGTGTTTTCATAAACAGTAACAAGCTTTTAAGCTTTTCACTGTATGAAATTCTCCATTCTATTTATATAAATGTCTACTTTTACTGTAATACTATCCATCTTCTTATTGTATTCCTCAATAATCAAATACTGGCACTCATATTTTTCTGCATTAGAATCTGCAACTAATAAATCACTTATTTCAGAATTTAAACTAGAAAGCTGAGCATATATCCTTTTTAAACGAGCAAACTTTGATTGAATTTCCACTTCATTAGGCTTTTCTTGATTTAATAAATCATTCAAGGCATTTAAAGATTTAGTAAAATTGGCTCTAACAGGTGAGCATTTCTTTACTAATAATTCCATGCTTAAAAGTTTAACCGTATTTACCTTCCAAATCCAATGAAATGACGTCCCGTTTCACCACTAATATCGCGTTGAATCAACGCCAGTTTTACTAAATCTTTTAATGCCTTGAATGATTTATTAAATCAAGAAAAGCCTAATGAAGTGGAAATTCAATCAAAGTTTGCTCGTTTAAAAAGGATATATACTCAGCTTTCTAGTTTAAATTCTGAAATAAGTGATTTATTAGTTGCAGATTCTAATGCAGAAAAATATGAGTGCCAGTATTTTATTATTGAGGAATACACTAAGAAGATGGATAGTATTACAGTAAAAGTAGACATTTATGTAAATAGAATGGAGAATTTCATACAGTGAAGAGCTTAAAAGCTTGTTACTGTTTATGAAAACAGAGGTAGAAGGAGAGGAGTGAAATCTGGGTTTTCAGATAAATATGAGAAGAGGGAAAAAGCTGCAGATTTATTTTCTGAAGTTTTCGGAAAGAGCAAAATGCAGCTTTTGTATTTTGTGAAAAAGCACATGAGAGCAGAGATTATTTTAAATCATTCAAGGCATTAAAACATTTAGTAAAATTGGCTCTAACAGGGGAGCATTTCTTTACTAATAATTCCATGCTTAAAAGTTTAACCGTATTTACCTTCAAAATCCAATGAAATGACGTCCCGTTTCACCACTAATATCGCATTGAATCTACCTGAATATTATTTCATTCATTCGTTCTCACCTCTAAATTAAATCTGACTCCATTTAACTCTTGAAAAGAAATATTTAAAAATTACATTTTTTTTCTTATGAAAGCCAAAACTGTTTTTCACACGTTTTACATACTTAAGGAAATCGAAACATTACTATTCTAATCTTTCTTCCTGTTGACAAAAAACAAAAACGAAGCACCATCTAAAATAAAATGGAAATAACAGCCATTGAATATTGTTGGCAAATATAAATCATGCAGCTCGCAACAACATCTAAATTTAAGGAGCTGTGGATACAAAATCCTTTACTGCTAGATACTCAGGTATTATTAGTATAAAAGGTAATGAGCTGGCAGACAGTACTGCAAAGTCTAAATTTAATTTTTGAACTGTGTCGATTCCTTATAGTGATACCAGCACGGTCATGAAACAAAAAATTTTGGACGTGCAGCAACTCTGGGATATTCTGATAAATAATAACCACGAAACCTAAAGTGAAATATTGAGAGAATACTAGAAACTAAAAGAATGGAGGTCTTGCTAACTTGTCAATCTCGAGTCACTCACAGATATCCTTTAAAAAAAGAAAGTGAACCTGTTTGTCCCAATTGTAATGCTGTTCTATCTGTTTATTTCTTTTTAACTGAGTGTCCTAATCTTAACAGACTTTGATTGAAGCATTTTAGCACTTATGACTAGCCTCTTCAACGAATAATCTGGGTGTCATTATTATTTACTTTGATTTAATTTTGAAGTTGTTCCTTGGTATTTTAATACTACGTATTTTAATACATCTGTAGTGGCCTAGTTACTGCATGAGTAATAATTATTTTTAATTTCAAGTATTTTATATTTTTGTGTGTGTTTAATTATTTTGTAAAATTAACTTTGTTTTGTTCATCTTTGTAATTCTTTTATAGCAACAAGTAGTTATTCGTGATTATTTTGTTTTTGAATTTTGATTGTGTTGTTATTGTATTGAAAGTAGCAGCTCATATTGATTGCTAAAAAATAAAAGCAGTAAATTTAGCTATTCGTTGGTGATTCTTGCTGTGCCTAAATTATAATTCAGTTTGAATATCAGTAGTCAAGACTGCACATCTCATGTTTTTTATTTTATTCTTATTCCATATGTGAAATCTCAGTTTTTTTACTTGTTCATGTCAGTATTTTTAATTTTATTATTTCGTAAACCTGTTTTGGATTTAAATTTCTGTTTGGCAATAATATACGAGTGGTAGTATCCAACAAGTGTTTCATGAATATAACCTGTCAGGTTATACACCAGAAAGTCCACTACAAGCAGTCAGTGACATGTGAGATGCACCATCAATGTAGCATGTTATTAATGTATTTTCTACTGTTCTTTTTCTTCTGAGAGAAGTATGGCTCAGTAAATTGCTGAAAAATAATTATTTATCCTTTATTCACATGTGGTGCATGATTTCAAATTGATCAAAATGATTACAATTTACACATAGTGTAATTAAAAAAAAAAAAAACTATGTGTTTCAAATTGCAATCATAGTTCAAAAATAAAACTGTTGGTTGTTACAACAAGAACTACATTACTGTACCTAGTCTTTTGTGGCACTATAATGTAGATGGCATTTTCCATGATGTCAGATTCATTAAAATGAACAATGTATTAATGGGCTAATGTGTTGTTCTCTTATATAAATATCAATTCAGTCTGTAGTCAGTTTGCAGATATCAATTCATCTTGCATGGAAAGGATGAAACATACCAGCAGGAAGGTTACGAGAAAGGGATTGTTACAGAAGTCATGGTGTGGGTGGAAGACTGATATATATATATAGAGAACTATAGAAAATGGATGATGGTACTACTGTAGCAAAGAGCTTGTTGAACATCATATTTATTTTTTCTATGATATGCTGGTGAAGCACTTTTTTTTTTTTTAATGCATGAAAATGATACACTGCAGTTTGGAATCCTTTGCTACAAAAAATAAGAGCAAATTTAATCTGTGCTATGAAAGAGGAATGAAATAACCCGCTGTAGCATGTACCATTCCTGCTGAATCGCTTAGGAATGAGAATGCTATGGCATTGTGATTACTGTGCTACGTTTAAGGTGGACATATTCCCTAATTACTAAGGAATAAAACTTCTAGGACATTAGTAAGTTCTTTTGATACGTTCATTACTTATGCCTAACTCATGCATATATTTTTTCTCCAATGACTTGCCACCATTGCTTCAGTTCATTATTTCCAACATTTTCATACCTTAGATTAATTGTCAGGGTGTTTGTTTCCGTAAACAGCGTTTTCTGTATGTGCAAATATATTCCTCTTAAGGTTTATACATATGTGGTTGTTATATTAGCTAAAAGTTAAAAATACATATAAATTAATTATAAGTGTAATTTCATTTCACCCAGAAAGAACAAATTTCCAGGCACGTGAAGTTAAAATAATTAGAATTGTATAATGCCTTAATTAAGGTGATCCGTTTTTAGGCACTTTTTAAAGGAAACTGGCTTGTATCCATGTTACACATGGGGAGAACCATGAAAATGCCCATACAGCTAGCCTGTTTGCCGAGACTCGAACCTGGACCGAACTACCAGTGTTCAGCGGCTTTTACCGCTCGGCCAATGGTGGGCCGTTTTCTGATAGTTGTGCTTATTTTTTTCATACTTAATATCTAACTGAATCTTTTCATAACTATAATAGTTAAGAGTTTTTTAAGCAGCTTATTTATGAGGTATAATTACAAAAATAAATTGCAGATTTTTAAAACCATGATTATTTACGTGCCTTCAGTGGTTAGGGTGAGTTTGGTGATGCTTTAATAGATTACTGTTTCAACATGATTACAGATATAATCTTGAAAGCTCTTTTATGACATGCACTGGTCAGTATTTAGTAATAAAATATGTAGAAGTTTGAACTCGGCATAATTATTTTATTTTGGAAACTTTCTTATCTAAGAAAGAATTTTAGAAAAGTCTTAGGTCATCTTTGAAGGTTACTTGGGTTTTTGAATTAAAACATAATATAATTAATTTTGATTAAATATTCATGGTATATTTAGAAAAAATATTAAAATATTAATTTATTTTTTAAACATTGTGTGCTAGTTTTATTTCAAAATGCTATTTTAGCATCTGAAATATCTAATGATATAATTAAAATCAAACAATATAATTTTTTCATAATAATTAATAATCAAATGATATAATTTTTCCAGGAAAAGAAGTGGAGACAATTTACCTCTTCGAGAGGTCGAGGATAGAGTAAGTGAAATCTTTTTTTAACATTTTACAAAAAATCATATCTATCTGCCTTGTAGCCTAATGATTTTTCGTTTGCTAGTTGTATGTAAAGCATTTCAAAATGTATTATTGACAAGATCATGAAAATAGCTCACTGTTCAGAATTCATGAATTGTGAGCAATAATAGCTGATTATTTTTATTACTAATATGTTGAATTTAAAGTTAAAAGCTATGGACAGATATTTGACATAAGTGATGAAAAATCATTTCTTAGATATCTGAGCTCATTTGAAAGTAATAATAATGACCTCATGTCAGGTGAATTCACATCAGACAGTACTCAAATAATGAATTTTTATACAAAATAAGTTTTGTATTTAACATACTTGCACGCAAAAATCAGGAGACTTGCACCCAAAATCATACTATGACACCCAAAAATCAGAAGAGTTTTTTAAGAAATCTGGAGATTTTTCACAATGTTAAAAAGACTTTTTAAATGATGAAAATATAGTTTTTAATAATGAATTAACTTTAAATAGTAACTAATTCTTAAATGCAAGCAACACAAAAATACCTTACACATAAAAAACACTTTTATTACTTGCATCGTTTAAAAAAAAAAAAAAAAACTTTAATCAGTTTTCGTACAAATGTTATAAACAGTGGCAGATTTTGCTTTCTTTAAGAAAGAAACTTCATAATTTTGTTCATAGCAATTGCCACATAAGCCTGCTTTCACTAATAAAACTTTTTTTTAATGTGTCATCACTAATATTAGATCTAAATTTAGTCCTCTTTTCCGCAACAACACTGAAAATCCTCTCACACTCTACATGAATATAGGGAACTGTCAAGATGGCCAACATAATTCTAGACAGTTCACTATATTTTAAAATTCCATCAGCATCTTTCAGTTTTCCAATTAAACTCCACTGGGTGTCAATCCTAGCTGATTTTATAACTTCATCCAAGTTTTCTAATTGTAAACTACTGTTATGCAGCTGTTGGAAATGTTTCAATTTTTCCTTCCTTTTAGAACTCCTTTCAAGAGAATAGTAAATATCCACAATGTGGTCATCAACATTTATTGGTAAAGAAGCTGCCCCTTTTTCAGCTGCTAAATTTAAGAGATGACAGGTGCATCTCATAATCTGCAAATCTGAATTTTCCTTTCTTAAGATGCCTGCAACACCAGTCTTCAAGCCTACCAATACTGGTGCATTATCGGCACCAAGTGCTAAGCAATTATCCAGAGGGACTACATTTTTTTTTAAAGTTTTAATAATTAGCTGTGCTATATTAAAGCCTGTCAAATGTCCTAAAGTGGGGGCAGAAAGCAAATTGCACTCAGTTTCTGAAGACTCTGGATTAAAAAAACAATTGAATACAGTTTTGAATCGGTATTATTGGTTCCATCCATAGAGAGGCAGAACGGAGCTGTTTTAATGCAATCAATAACTGAAGATTTATTTTTCAAATCCATTTCTTTAAATATTGCACCTGTTTTTGGTTCTTGCACTTGAGTATTTCTTAGCGATTTCACTATCGGAAAACATTTTTCTAAATTAAGCTGCAGCATGATCCGATGCATTCAGTGGCAGGTTGTGCTCCAGTAAAAAGGCAGAGAACAGACATTCTGCATTAATAACTTTTTGGTCCTTTGTTTCTGAAGAAAAATTTAATTTTTCGTTTTTTTTTCAAAAAACTCATGTTGTCCTTGTGTTTTTGTGTATGCACATGTTTGAGAACATCCGCCCTTCCACCATGCAAAATTGAAAAATCGCAATGACAGGCAGTTTTTCGATTTCGCAAATTTATTATATTTCCTTGAGGAAATAATGGAAGGAAAGTCTAGTGTGTACGATTTTTGAAACGTACACGAGTATTTCACCTTCCTCGCAGACATTACAAAAGAGGATAATTTCTAAAACTAATTTCTGAAGGCACGTGTACTTGCACAACTTGGGACAAAATGACTGAAATAACTAAAAGAACATCCAAATACAGCTTGCTTTGTCCTCATTGGTTAATATATGCCAGGTGACACGCAGTGGAGCACGATGCCCATTGGAGAACGATGTTTCTGGATATGTATATGCTCTCACTCACAAAGCAGAAATTATTTAATTTGTTTTAGATATAATCTAGAGAAAATTCAATTTGTTTCAGAATTCAATTGAATTCAATTTGTCGAAAATTACTTTTTTTGTTCATATAACAAAGTATAACATATAACATATAACAAAGCCAAGTTCCATAAAAATCGTGAGAAATTTTAAGAATAAGAAAAAGTCGGGAGAAATATATTGTAAATCAGGTTGGCGGGAGAGCGGTCGGAAATCGGGAGAGTTGGCAACTCTGATTTAATAACAAAAATAATTACTTAGCTTATTCTATCCATCCTATAAAGCTCTTTTGTTTAAAAAATTTCATTTTAATTAAAAATTTAAACATATCCTTCAATTTTCCTTGTAAATAAAAATTAACAATTTAACATTTTTAAATAGTGGCAGGTGATATGTTCTTAAAAGTAGTATTTTTATAATGAAAAATAATATAAACACTATCTTAAGTTCTTATGATGTTGCTTCACTCTAAATTGATTTCTCTCATTTATTCACATATCTTCTAATTTCATTCATTTTCTTAAAATTTTGTTTATGCTTCTAAGATGCTTGATCTCTGAATTAAGTGATAGAACTGGTCACGTAGAATAGCATGATATACACAAATTTGTAGATCATACTGTAATATGAATTTGTTTGTAGGATTTAACATAAATTCATTTAACCCCTTGACATACAGTGACGTCCGAGAAACTTTGACCATGTACCATTGTAGACTTTGACATTTCCTAAACGTCAGGAACTGTCTTCGGCGAAAGCCATGCAGTATATTATTATTGTTTGAGTGTTCAAATTAAATGGTATTCTTTGGATGTGTATTTTATTTGTATATCAAAGGTTTCAACTTTTTTTTAAAATAATGTTTTACTGTTTTGGAAGAAAGTACATTTTTGTAATGGTCGCTCATAATAACATAAGTAAACTAATGTGAAAGTTTACTTATGTTATTATGAGCGACCATTATTGTCACTCGTAATGTGGCATTAAAAAAATATGTTTACAGGGTTTATTTCAAAAAAAGAGAAAAAATCTTGGCCATAACAAATCATATATGTTCAGTGATGAACTTTTTTTATGTAATTTCACCATGACATCTGAGGCATAATGTAACCAAAAATGAACTTTTTATAGCAAATTTCCCATTGTAGTATACTACACACTGAACCATCATACCACTATTGTTCCAAATGTTTTCCCTCATGATTCCAAAATTTTTTGCCATGAAGGATGATCTTTGAGAATTAAGAGATGAAAATTACTTGGTGCCCTATCTCAAATGAACAGTGGACAGTTACAAATTTCCCACTAAAAAAGTTACTAAAGTTTTCTGAATCGAAGCAGTCATGCTTAGGCAAATATCATGAATATTAAATACCATTTTTAAATCACTGCAAGATAATAATTCTGATATCAGCTCATAAATATTCCAATGTTACTTTTAATGTTTTCATGAAATTGGCCTGATCCATCAGATTTCCTGAAACATTGAAACTTAGGTGTTTTCATTCCATTCTTGCACATTTTAATTCTAAGATATAATAATTAGCCTGTGGCTGGTTACAGATGAAGTATGTATGAGAAAATATTGACCTTGAACAACATATTGTTGCATACGGGTTTTAATAGATTGAATGCACACAGAACTGATGATAGCTTGATAAATTTTATTTTCACAAAAGGAAATACTTTAAAGTTGTAAAACTTTCCAGAAAAGTACTTATATGTTTTTAGTATGAGAGCAAAATCAGTAGTTACCATTTTGAACTTCTAAGAATGTGAAGCAGAATGCAATGCAAAGCACATCTAAAGAGCTATGCTGACTAATACTCCGAAGACTACTCTGCACTAAAAACTGAGAACTGATCTTTCTGCCAAGTCTGATCTTTCTGGTCTTATATAGTTCTCCTCCCCCCTTCCCCGTGCCAGCAAATCTCTAGTACTTTCCATTTCTCAAATTTACTGGGAGGCATATACATTTAAAGTTGCATATAAGAGCCAGTTACAGTTACTCAATTACAGTATCAGTTATAGTTATACATGGACTGGACAAAGAGGTTACCAAATTTGGTGACAAAAATTAGTCGCCTAAACCATCGCTGATATCTCATCAATTTAAGGGGATAGCCATTTACCTTAATGTTAAATAGACTTGCACATGTAATCTCATTTTTCTAGCATAGGTCTCTTCAGACATTTCATATAACATAATACAAAGATACTACTTCTCAAGGACTGCACATCCCAGGCAGTACAATCCGTGAACAGGAAGCCATACTTATAAGGAAGGAAAATCAGTGCAATACTAAAACAATAATTTCAATGAATAGCATAAAACAAATACTAAATGTTTAAATTTACAAATTTATATACAAATAGGGCCATAGTCTTGGTTTTCTACTTACATTATATACAATATAGGGACTATGTACTATGGTAATAGTAAAGAGCTAGTCTCTTGTAATCAACTACTTTAGGCATAGAATTTGAGTTTTGGATCAGACCAAAGAATTCTTCAGCCTGCTTAGAACTGTATAAGAATCATACCAGGGTAACTCTAGCTTAGGAGAATGGTCCTTTCCATTGAATCAGATTCCATAACCACACCATGTCACCTTTGTTCAATTGATGTCCTGTAGCTGTCACTTCCTATCAAGTCTCCTTCTCCGTTGCTGACTCGCTTTCGTGCGAAACTGTGCTTCACTTCAAACCAGATCTTTAAAGTACTCAAGCAATGAAGGCACATTCTGAGGGCTACAAAGCTAGAGATCACAAGTGGGCGATGGTCCTGACTGAAGAGCATGCGAGATGGGGAGTAGTCGGTATTCTCATGAACAGCACTGAGATAGGCTAGTAAAAGGCACTGAGATATGCTAACAGAGTTAATGTCTGG